GTTAGGGCTTGCTTGAGGTACCACAGGTAGCCACTGGGAGGATGGTACCAGGACCTGACTCTTAGAAGTCCCTCAAACAATCCTCTTTCCATTGCACCAAGGTGCCCTGCTTGGGTCCCTGGATGTTACTGGTGGGAGAAATAATGAAGAAACACAATATGCCTGAAAAAGACTATATTGGCATTTGAGGCAAGTGCTGCACTCTTTTAAAAAGTAGAGTCAGGACTATGTTTTCTAGGTCTTAAACTCACTTGTTACGTGACCTCAAGCAAGCCACTTGTAGATAGTGTAGGCTCAGTTTCATCTGTTACCAAATCAGGAGTTGTAGTGAGAAACAAATGCAATAACACAAGGGGAAGGGTCTGTAAATGTGCCCACGCCCAACGACAAGAAGGTGTTGCCATTACGGCTCTGGGTGCTGCTGCGGCTCTGGCTGTGAGCAGGTTTCCCACAGCTCTCCCCACCCTGCTCCTTGGTTTCCCATCATCTCCTGCAGGGCAGGAAGCCTGGCCCCCAACAGGAAAGGGCTCAGAGAAGCTAGAGCTTCAGCCAGGAAATAAGCATCTTGCCCCAACATTCGTTTCGCCAGATCAATGTTGCAGTCAAATGGCGAGACACCCGCCTAAGTACCTACCGAGGTGCTCAGGAGGCATTGCAGCCTCAAGCCAAGGGGTAAAATAATCAGTAAGATCCTCAGGGCTGGAGAAGTGTAGGGTTCATCATTGTTAGATCAAAATCAGTGGGGACACTAGAGTTAAATCAAAAGCAGAGTTGATGGGGTAGCAGGGGTGGGGAATTGGAGTAGAGTGCTGCCTTATTAAGCCCCATAGAGATTGGCCCCTTAACAGCGCATATTGAATTCTCATGTTGATCAGTATAAACAAATAATTTCCAAATCTTCACTCTCCTGGTGCAACTAAGGCCAAATACTTTTAAAAGTGTGTGTGTGTGTGTGTGTGTGTGTGTTATTTGGGGAGGGAATGCATGGGACCAGAGGAGTGGCCAAGTAAAACAAGTACCAAAGTGGTTCCTAGAGCAACATAAAATGGCCAGGCTGTCTACTCTGCTTGATTTTGAGCTTGTTGAGGATCAGCAAAGAGGGGTCATGGAACAGCAGGCCTCGAAGCCAGTGCAGCCTCCGACAGCTGACAGCTAACTTACTGCAGCTCCTCAGGCACATGGCTCAGAGCAAGCGAGGGAGACAGAGCAGGCAAGTCTCAACTGTTATCTCCCAAGTACTTTCCAAGGAGAGAAGACACCCCATAGCTCAGAGATGGAACTTCTTGGCCTGTGAGCAGCCCTGGGGGAGGGGTGGGAAGGAGAAGGAGGAAGACATTCACCCCGCAGAGCTTCCCTCTAGTCTCCATGAACCCCTGGCTTCCTTACTATAGAGAAACACATAATACATAATATCAATATATCTATGCATTAAATTTCCCCCCAAATTCCAGTGATCCATTTCAAATCGTCCAGAAACTTACGGGCACCTCCCCTAATGCTCTCTTATCTAAGACTGTGCCTGAAGGACCGTCCTGACCCCGCACCCCCATCCCACTAGCACTGGCTCAGGGCTGGAGCCGCTCAGAAACACCCTAAGACTGAAAGCAACTCAGCCGGCTGCTTCTGCTCCTTGCTGAAGCTGCTCTCCTTGGAGTTAATGTAAAGTCATCAGAGTTACATTGCGGACCGCAAGCTCCTCAGCCCTTCAGTCCCGCCGATGGCCTGCGATGTAAACACACATGAGGATTTATTCCTTTGCCCAGGCGGAGGAAAGTCGTTAAGGTAAAGGGTAAGGGTCAAGGGGCTTGGATTGGTGAGTGAGGAGCCAGGGGAAAGTGGGCATAAACCGAAGGCTCCTCTAGCCTGGTTTTTGGCTGCGAGTCTTGCAGGCTTCCCGGTTTACAGAGGTTTCGTCCGCGCCCCTCTTCTTCCTCCTCCCTCGGGTCTTTCGCTCCCCCCCCCCGCCTGCCCCGCCCCGCCCCGCCCCACAGATGCCTCTACGTCCAGGCGGGGGCTGCCCCATTGAAGTGGGTGGGGGGTTCGCGGGTTTGCAACCCCGGGAGGTTGCCACGAAGGGTGGGTCGCCTCTCGAGACGCGGGGAGAGGTGGCGAGCCCCAGCATTTTCCCTTCGCCAGCACCTGTCCCATTTCGGCGCTGGGGCCGGGGCTTGGGCTGTGCCCGCGGGCCGCCTCCGTTGCCCGAGGCCAGAACCGTGCACCGAGGTCGCTCAGGGTGGGCAAGTGGGGGGCCCGGATAGGGGCGGGGCGGCTGGTGGGGGCGGCCCCTCAACGCAGGCAGGACCCCCGCTCCCCCCACCCTCCCCGGCGCACACGGAGGCTAAACGGGGAGAGAGTCACACAGAAAGCACGAGCGAGCGAAAACGCTCGTTTTCCGATCCCGGACCGCGTTGTTCGCCACCCCCCTCCCCTTCCTGGAGCCCGGGGCCGGCCGGGGAAGGTGGCTCCGTTCTTTCCCCAAGGCCAGTGCGGGGTCTGCGGCTTCCCGGCGAGGTTCCGGCTTCCCCGGGGCTGGCAGGGGGAGCCCCGAGAACTGCAGGCCCGCCCCCCCTTCCTCCTCCTCCTTCCCCTCCTCCCCCACGTGTCCTCCCGGAGCCCGGCGGCCTGATCCCAGCACCCCCCACCACCTCTCCCTCCTCCTCCTCCTCCCGCTTCGCCCGGTTCCCCGGTGGTGTGGAGAAGAGCAAAGTTGCGACAGCGGCCGGGGGGCTCTGCCCAGGTAAAGGGGGCGCCATGAGGGAGGGGGACGGCGAGGCCCTGCAGAGGGGGCAGGGGGAGGATAAAGAAACTTGGTTTGCGCGGCCCTCACCCCGCGCGGGTTCGGGTCTTGCGTGAATTGAGCCCTCGTGGCGAGACGCGGCAACGCCGCCAGCACCGAGGCCGGCGCCCGGAGCCGGACCGCGCGCTTGGGCCAGCTCGGCGGGCGCAGGCAGCGGGCCAGGCCGGCACCCAGGCAAGGGCGGAGTAGGTGGCCGTAACACCGGACCGAACCGGGGACTCCAGGGCTGTGGGCACGGGCCGAACCCGGATCGGGCCGAGTTGGGTGGCGAAGTGGACGTGGATTCGGGGGCGGGGCGCGGCGTGGGGGGGAGGAAGCGAACAGGCCCCGGCGGAGTGGCCCGGGCGTGGGGGCGGGGGGCGAGTTCGGGGCACTTGCTGGGCTTGGGACCCAGTGCTAGGGCGGGGCGGCGCTAGGGGCTGGGCCGGACCGCGGGGGGAGGGGAGGGCAGGGCTGGGGGAGCCGGGGGTGGAGTAGGGGCGTGGAGTTGCGAGCGGGGTCTGGCCTCTGCCGGGGGCGAAGGTAGACCGGCGGGGCCGAGAGCCGAAGGAGGGAGGCCCGCGGTGGCGCGGCGGCGGGGAAGGCCAGCTTCCGCGGAGTTTGTGCCCGGGCAGCCCGGGCTCCGGCCGCCTCACTCGCATAAATGGGGCTAGGGGACTGACTGGTAAGCAACTCCCAGTGTTAGACGGTGTTGGGCTGCAATTCCGGGAAAAGCGAGCAGAGACACCGTCTGCAATTATGCCGCACCCCCCATACACACCTCTTAGCATCTGGACTGTGCTCTCTGGGGGCCGCAGACCCTCCCCACCACAATCCTTTTACTCTCCAGCACTCCCCCCCACTTCTAGTCCTTTCTCGGCCATCTGACTCTCCTAAGGATCTGCGTTTGGGGGGTGAACGGCCAAGGTGTGTGCGTGTGGGGGGGGGGGCGGCGGATAATTTTCCTTCCCGTGGCGGCAGCCTAGTTAGTATCTTATTCCTACAAGGTGCCATCGCTTTTGGTAGCGTGAACATTAGCGTTTAGATAATTTATCCGCCCCCCCCCCCCCCATGATTTGATGGCTGTTAAGGAAAGGGACGAATCCTTGAATTTGCACGGTTGCAATGAGGTTTGAAGGTTGGGATTTACCTCCAGGTCACTTCCACTGCCAACTCCTCATACCTGAGAACCACTTCCATGGGGATCCTAACCTTGAGCGCTGGTGGGGAGAGGTGGGGTACGGGAGTACTAACGTGCTTCTCTGTCTCTACACAGGATCGGCGTGGCGAAGGACTGCTGGTCTCGGAGGGAAATTAGCTGCCACTCCAACTTGGCTCACCCCCAATATTACTTTGGTGAGGGGGACAACATTAAGAAGGGGATCTTGGTGGGTGGGGGCTCAGCCTCAGGGCGGGGACTGGCCAGTCGCCCAGAGTCTCCCATTTTTTGGCGGGGAAGAGAGGCAAGCCCCGACTTCCAGACTTCCAGGGAGGGGTCCTGGGGAGGAGGGGTGGCGACGACGGTGGAAGGGAGCTAGGAAGAAGGGGGCAGTCCCATTCTGCTTGCAAGGGGAGCCTCCCTCAGGCCCCTGGGAGAAGGGGACTGAATGTTTTGTGCTACCCTGCAGGGGAGATCTGGAGTCTCCGGATTTGCACACTGGATCGGGCACCCATGGCCTGAGAAAGTCAGGTCGGGGCATAAGGTGGAGAGCGTTGGGCAAAAAGGAGAGGACCCTCTGGCCGCAGCGCACTGATCTCTCTTCCTCAACCTCTCCTTCTAGGGGTGTCGAGGTGTTGGGGGGGGCGTGGGGCTGTTGCAGCCCCGCGGATTGAGTGCCTCCGCCTCTCCCGGGAGTCTAGCTTTTTGCCCGGCTTGCTGCAGCCACCGCTGCCTCCCTCTCCGGGATCCGCTCGGTCCTAGCAGCGATCCCCTCCTCCTCTTCTCCCCTCCCAGTGTCACCGGGGCTGCTTGGCTCTGCCCCCTTCGCCGCCGCTTGCTCCCTGCTTTCGTCCCTCCCTCTCTTGCTCGCTCCCTCCATTCGCCTCCACCTCCCCATTCACCCCACCCGCGTAGGCGGCATTCTGGGAGTTGTAGTCCGCTGGTGTGGGGGCTAGCACCGCCCGCAGACCCGGCCGGACTCCACTTCCCGTCGAGCCCTGCGACCGGCACCCACTCCACCAGGCTTCGCTCGCACACACAGACACACACACACACCGCTCTCCCCCTCACTCTTTCGCTCGCCGCGGCTGCTGCCAGTGTGTGGCTCTGTCTCTCCTCCGCTTTGCTGAGCCCTCCCTTCTTCCTCTCAGTTCCTAGAGTCCGACCGCCGTCGCCGCCGAGAGAGGAGAAGGAGGTCGGTGGTGATAAGGGGCGGAGGGGGGGCTTCAGATCGGGGCAGTATCTGGCGGGTGGCGGTAAAGAAGGGGTAAGAGGGAGCCCGGGTGGCGGCCTGAACCTCCCCGCGGAGCCGACCCGGGAACAGGTGCGTCTTTTTTTCTCTCCCCCGACCCCTCCACCTCTTTTGACTCCCCGGCTTTTTCGTATCCCCCCCCTCCACCGCTTCTTTCTGTCTTAAGCCTTTGCTCAGCCCTGTCCCTTTTTCGCCCCGCGGCCGCTCTGCTTGCCCCCCGGGGGCGCCGTCCTCTTCGTGTCCCCGGACGTAGCGCTCCCTGGAGCTCGCTGTGTCCTCGCCCCTCCCTTCGGGATAGCTCCCCAGCACTTCCCACCTTCGAACCCCATCCCTGCCCTGCTCTACCCCCTTCTCGACCCCCTTCTCTCTCAGCCAGGTGAGACTTATTCGCTGTGATCCCAGAGAGTCTTCTCCCCGGCTGGGCGGGGGTCTCCATGGAAACGGGGGTCGGTTGATCCTGGGGTGGGGTGGGGGATGAACCATAGGAATTACCCCACTCCTCGGAAAGGGTGGTGGAGGCTACCGTCTTGATAACTACCTGGCCCCAAACCCTGATACAGGGATCCAAGATCCGAAGGGAGGTTGGTCAGCAGGGCAGGGCGAGAAGAGGCTTGTTTTATTTTTTAATTTTTTTGGGGGGGTCCGTAATGAAGTCTTGAAAAGACCAGAAGAAAATACCCTGCAACCTCAGGGGAGGTGCGACGGCTGCTCCCAAGGCTGCTTCCTTCTTCACGCTGAGGTGAGGGAACCATAGGGTAAGGGGTACCCCTAGGTAGCGGCGGGGCCTGAATTCGGGAGTGGGAGTGCTGTGATGGGGGCAGGGGCAATTATCCGAGTCCCTGGAAAAAAGGCGGGGGATGACTTCGGAGCGCCCCGGTTCCGCTGCCCTCTCTCTAGGGGTGGGGACCGCCGGGCCAGGCGTTGCGAGGAGGGGGCTAAAATAGAAGCAGGATGAAATGGGGGGGCAATTTGTACTAGCCCCGGCAAGCCGGGTGCAGGGAGGGGGGTCAGGCGTGCTAGCCCTCTACACGCTTCGCGCCAGGCCTGGAGGCAAGGGGGTTTGAGAGAAGCCCAGGGCTTGAAGGAGAGAAGCTCTGGTTACGGGGCCGGGTTTCGGGATCAGGGGCAATCCCCCAGCCCTTGGAGGAGGGAGAGGGATGGCCGCGAACCCCAGGGCTCCCCCACCCTGGGTCCAGAGGGGCGTGAGGAAGGGACAGCAGGCCCAGCGAAGCTAGATTCGAGCGGAATCGCGGCCGGGGAGTGGTGGGGCTTAGTGGTGGGCTTGGGGGGTGCAGTCCGGCGGCGGGGCGGCGGGGCGGCGGGGCGGCGGGGCGGGCGGGCGGGGCGTGGGGCTCCGGCGGGCGGCGGGGCGGGGCCGGGGCGGCGCTGCCGCCGCCGCTGCTGCCGCCGCTGCTCCTGCTGGGGCCGCCGCAGCCGCTGCCGCCGCCGCGGCCGCCGCCGCTCTGGGCGGGGAACGGAGGCCAAAGGGAGTCCCGTGCCGGGGCAGAGGGCGCGGGCGGCGCGCGGTGGGGAGGGGGCCGTCCTAGGGGCGGGGGCAAGCGGGGGAGGTGGAGCCCCCGACGGGAGGCGGTATGAACCCCGACCACGACGACGCGGAGCCCCTGGGACCCGGTGCATGGAGGACGAGGTGCTGGGAGAAGGAGGGGGTGGGGGTGGCTCCCACGACGGACGGGCCTCGTGGGCTTGCCTCCTCGAGGTTCAGCTTCAGGATAGAGCCCTGCGGAGATGGCCAGAGGCCCGGAAAGAGATAGGGAGGCGAAGTGGATGGTGGAGGGGGGCCCTCCTCGCCGGGGTCCCGCCGAGAGGAAGGCTGGGCCAGAGGGACGTCCGGGGCAAGGCTGGGAGGAGCCGGCCGCGCTACTGCTGGGGCTTTCGCGTTATGGAGGCTCCGGAGGGTTGTTGTAAGGACCGACGTGGTCTACGGGAAAGGTGGGAGGAAAGCATGCTGCGAAGCCAGCAGGCCAACAGCACAGGCCCATGAGGGTGCCCTCGCTGCTAGTCCGCTCCCACCACCCCTTCCCCCGCCCCATTGAGGCGCTGTGTTTTTGTTTTATTGTTTTCCGATTTACTGTATTGACCAGTGTGATGCTTCTGAACTCATTCTCCGTGTCTCTTGAGGGTAGATAGTTGAGGCCGGGTTTGCCTTGAGAAGCACATGTCTAGCCCAAAATGTGCGGACTCTTGCTGCCAGTGTGTGAAGCAGGCCTAGTAACTTTGTGTACTCTTCTAGCAGTTTGGAGGTTGTCCCCGTGGCAGCAATGCAAAAAAAAAAAAAAAAAAAAAAAAAAGGAAAGAAAAAACCCTCTTTGCTGAGACTTCTAGAGAGTGCAATTGTGGGTTAACTGGTCTCCCACCACCACCTCTGTCCCAGAGGTGGGTGCTGGTTCCTGGGGGAGCTCCCCTGGTTTTTTAAACTTTGAAGACTGTTTCTGAAAATCTCGGCACTAAAATCTTTCAGGGAGAAAGAACTGGGGAATGCATTTGGAGGTTGGGGTAGAGTAGCGTGATAATAAAATTCTGAGGTGGAAAGACACGTGAAAGGTCATGTAATTCTGTTTTTCTGTCCTAGCTTTGAGTGTGGGAATTGAGTGAGGCTTGTTAAGAGGGACTTGGTGGGTGGCAAAATCGATGGTATTGGAGGACAGTTTGGTGTAAAACTGGATCTTGATATCTCTGTGTAGTACTGAAAATGACAGTACGTACGAAAGAAATTTGGAGGATTAGATTTGGGGATCAAGTGGGACAGTCTAAATTCCAGAAATCACCCAGGGGCTCTTCAAAGAGAAGCAGAAGGTTACAGAGCAGCCTGTCAAATTTTGGTGGTCAAGCGAAGTTAGGAAGGACTGGGAAAGTTGGCAGAAGTATGGAATTCAAGTCAAGTGTAGAGAATCTGAAGTTTGATGGTAAGGTTTAGGAGCAACATGGCAATTTTCACTAAGTCATAGGGATGTTGATCAACAGACATCTTTTCATAAGGTGGTTGAGGCACCTGCCATTAGAGCAAATGGGCACCAGAGTTGCAGGCCTTGGGGCACAGATCATGGCCAAAATGGAGTGTATATAAGGGTTGACCCCATTACTAGCTTTGCAGTTGGGCTTTCTGGGTATCTTTTTCCTCTGGTTCTGAGAAGACTGGTACTGTGTAAGTCGTGGGTGATGCAAGGGGACAGGATGCTAATTCTGTATTCCAAAGGACTAGCTCTTTAGAAGAAGCCCAGAAGGAAGGGAGTGCATATGCCTACAGTAAGGGCAGGGGAAAGCCAAGGCCCCAGCTAGCACTGTTGTTGGAGTCTGGCTTGGGCAGAGTGGAAGGGAGTTGCAGCATAGTAGCTGTACCAAGGACACTCCTGCAGCTGGCTGTGGCTATTTAGATGTGTCAGGAAACAGTAGGGAGGAAGAGAGGAATCCTTTCTTCCTCAGTGGCTTAGGCTTTCTGGGGGAAAGTATAGGGAATTTCTTGCTTTTATTTGTAATGCAATTCACTTTAATCAGGTAAAAATGTTGATGAGCACAGGGGGCAGTGGGTCTCATAATGTGCTAGCCGTGGGATAGGGATTTCATGGAAGGTCATCTCTGAGAGAAACAGAATTAGGGAAGAGAGGACTTGGTGAAAGCAGAAAGGGAAGTCAGGAAGAGGGTTGGTTGAGCAGTGGAGAGAGAGGACATGTGGTCTTCAGTAGGCCTGTGTGAGGGGCAACAAGGAAAAGTAGTACCTTGAAATCTTCAGAATAATATTTTTCCAAGAAAAGTTTCAAGAACTCCTAGAGTTCTTTACACTTTCATTATAGAATCACTGAGTTTAGGCAAGAAAGAAGAAAGATCTTGGTAGCGGTAGCTTTGGGGAGAAAGTGCCATTTACAGACAGATGCAAACATATTTACCCATAAGGAAACAGGATTTTTTTTAAAGATTATTTATTTATTGGAAAGTCAGAGATATACAACGAGGAGGAGAGATAGAAAGGAAGATCTTCCGTCCGATGATTCACTCCCCAAGTGAGCGCAACTGCTGATGCTATGCCAATCCAAAGCCAGGAGCCAGGAGCTTCTTCCAGGTCTCCCACGAGGGTGCAGGGTCCCAAAGCTTTGGGCCGTCCTCGAATGCTTTCCCAGGCCACAAGCAGGGAGCTGGATGGGAAGTGGGTCTGCCGGGATTAGAATTGGCGCCCATAAGGGATCCTGGTGTGTTCAAGGTGAGGACTTTAGCCACTAGGCCACGCTGCCGGGCCCAGGAAACAGGATTTAGTGAGAGTATACAGGTGAAAATGCAGAATGTGACAGGAGAGGCAGAAAGAGCTGAAGGAACATGTCATTTGGCGCTGGAATTGGGGAACGGAAAAACTTTAGCCACAGCTCTGCGAAGGTGTAAGAGGCTGGGGTGGGGTGGGGGTGGGGAATCCAGGGCTTACAAGTTTAGGCATTAATTAGAAAATCTAAAAAGTAAGGATCCTAGGTAGGAGAAGGAATTCACTGTCCTAAATAGGATGGCGTTGAAAAGAAGGAGAAAGTGGGAATATACTAGTATTCCAGTATGCAAGTAGGAGGGATCCTAGATATAAGGAGGGCAGTGATGAAAATTCAGAAGGAATTTTGGATGAAGAGTGGTATGACAGTCTTGGGGCAGAATTGGAGGGTAGTATAGGGGTAGGGAGAAAGAGACTCTATTTAGAGGTTGTATTTGTAACAGATGGAGTGCCCCATTGATTTTAGCCGAGCTAAGTTGGGGATGGAATAGAACAGTCATAGGGAATGGAGAGCTGTTTGCCAGGGTCAACCAAAATCTGAGATTGAGAGAGAAGAAATTCGCCATTGAGAAAGAGGAGAGAGAAAAAAAAGAGGAGAGAGAGAGAGGAGAAAGAGAAAGAGAGAGTGTGTGTGTGGAGGGGAGAGGAATAAATGCTAGAGTTCCACAGAGAGAATGTT